TAATGGAATTGATGATTTCCTTCCCTAATCTTTCTAATAATTGAAACTATATGGCTTATAGCAAGTGGACTAAATAAAAAATTGGGTTTTTTACACATAAACATAGCAGGAAAATTTATAAAAATGCAAACATAAGACTAGATTTTTAATAGCAGTAAACCAGTGTCATACCATTAGTTTCCATGGAGATGCTCCAGTATGCACTGGCCGTTTCAGTGCTTTCAATGTGAGGATTGTATCTGCAGTAATGACATACTATAACATGCAAACAGTTAAGATGCTTTACAAATGTGCCACTCAACATATTTCACTGGAATAGACGCTCCTCAAGAAGGATGGGCTGGAAAGGCGAGGTGGGGAGTTGCCCTTTATGTGCTAGAGCAGCGGGGATGCATGGTGCTCAGCCTCCGGACAGATGAGGAGCCAGCTGAGAGCTAATGGGTCAGGATTAGAGGGCAGATCAACATGGGCAACACTGTGGTGGGTGTGTACTGCAGACCACCTGATTGGGAGGAAGCAGATGAGGCCTTCTTCAGACAACTGGAAGAAGCCAGGTGATAATTGGTATGTCTTTCTCTCCAGAATAGCGGTGTTATCAAATGCTTAGCTTTTCCTACAGACCTTAAAACAAGATGGAAATGGATCTTGTATCCAGAAACTGCACCAAGATCCTCACTATGTGACACTATTATTTAGATATCAAGAAATTGGCACAAAGTCAAATTCTACCACCGTGGCCATCATATGTGAGGATATGCAGCAGTGTAGCAAGGCATGAAATTGCAAACTATGCAGTTTCATACAACTGGCATTACAAGAAGCTATGCAGCTTATCTAAGCATGGGAATTCACTTGTATCGTATCTTCATCTCATCCTATGACACAGTACAGCTAAGCTGGTACTGAAAATTGCTGAAAAATTTTAACAACTGTCTAACAGAAAAGTGGATTCCAAACCATACCCAAGTGGAAGAGCACACCATAGAATGTATGTTGGCATAGTAGATGCATGCGTGAGTAAGAAAAAGGAAGGGGAAAATAAAGGAAATTAAAAAATGCCTTCCAAGGTCATCAAGCCAAAATATGCATCCACAAGAGCATTTTGTTCAGTCAGGACTGCACTTTTGCTGCAGATCTGATGGTTCTCACAGTTCGCACTGGTTTATAAAATGGAGGAGTCAGGGAGTGAATACAGTGGATTGCTTTTGGATGAAACTGAACTGGGAAATGGGCTCCAAGAATGCATTTACTTCATGAAAATTGCAAATATGTTTTAAGTCCACAGGATGAGACTAGAGTTGGTCCAAAGTAAAATCCCCTAAATCTGTATAGTATGAGCAGTAGATCTTTAGCACCAACTGTATCACTCTATAAATCCACCCTTTTCAGGTCACATTATCTCCTAACGTAGGCATACCTAAAGACTTCCCAGAACCACAATTGGAAGACATTAAGTTCAAGCTATCTCCCCTGATAAATCATATGTTTGGAGATCATTCAAAGTTACTGACAAGTCAAGTCTTTTTTTAGTACAGGTAGTATTGTGGCATTACGTATTTCACTGAAATTACAACTCATTCACTGTAATCCAAGATGAAAATCTGAGCAAGGAAAACAGTGGAATGCTTGCTTTGCTAAAAATTGTCAGGTAGGACATAGTGGAATGAAGGACAGTGAAGGATCATGTTATGTTCTCAAAGGACAACAGTGTCAGAAGAATCACATTTGAGGCTGTCTCTTCCCAAAGAAAAACTTGAATTCATTGCCACCTCTAGCTGGCAAGTAAACAAAGTCAGAAGTTTTGACAGATCAGCGTATCCTTGCAAAATATCTTAGTTGTACCAAATCAGCATTTTCTGACAAACTTATTTAATTCCTTGGGGTTTTTTCTTCATCATCTCCAACGTGTAAGGTTGCCATCTTGTAACACCCACCAGCACAAATACAAGAACAGGAGAATAATTAACTATGTCCAGCCAGCCATTAGGTTTTATCTTGCAAAATAATCTTAATGCTAATGAAGAAGGGTTAAAGTCCTGTCTGAATTAATGAATTTTATATTTTCCAGTGTTATATTCATGCCAGTTAGCAGATTCCAGAAAGACTCATCTATTTAAATTGATGATGAGGATATCAACAGCTAAATAAAATTTAAATAGAAGCTTAGAAATCCATGCTTCCTTGAAGTGATTCAGTATGGTAATTCTTATATTTTGTGCACTTCCTTCCAAGTGGATGGAAGTGGAGATTTCATTCTAAGGAATCATGATTTCAGCTAGAGCTCTTCTCAAAAAGCAGCACATTTCATGCTTTCTTAGGACATCCTGAGAACTTTCCCCCAGCCCTCATGAAGTGACAGTCTACCTATCAGTTGGCTTGGCATTGTATTCATTTTTAATGGTATCTCTTGATTTCACTTTTTTTCCTTTTACCATGTTCTCTGTGGTTGCCCCTACTAATTTTTATTATCCTTTTCCCTTTATACCACATCTAATACCATCTAATACTACATCTATACCATCTACACCATACTTTCTAATCATCCATTTCCCCTTGTCTTTCCTTCCCTCTGCCTGATTCTACATGTACTTTCACTTTTTCATCCCAATCTCATCAGGTCTTCCAGACAGAAGACAGAAAAAAACATTTTTATTTTGTTTGCACATACATTTGCATTTAATATGTTAACTATGATAATATTAATATTTAAATAAGCATGCACATGCATGTATGCATTCATATTCACCAGCCTGCAGCTCAAGAGGGGTCTTAAGAGTTTCTTTGTCTAGATGGAGTCCAAAGCCCTGACTTAGGGCTTTATACAGCCCAGAATTCCTTCCGGAGGGTAACTGCATTCTGTTTTAATTCAAAGAGCAGCCAGAAAAGCCATGTTGAGTAATATCCTAGCTATTAAAATATATTGCCCTGCTACATATGTACCCAAAAAGTGCTTAGATATGTGAATCCTCTAAGCTGGAGAAGGTCGCTCAACCTAAGGCCTCCCCAATTTTGGATGAGTGCCTTCACAAAGCCAATGAACAGAAGGTGAGACTCCACCCTTGCTGCAGCTGGCAGTGTTTAGCTGCTTTTTTGAGCCATCTCCTTGCAATGGCTCAAGCTGAGGGGCTTTTGTACTACTTCAGCTAGTTCCCTGATCTTAGTGAAGCTTCGGCAGGAGATGGTCACTGATCTGGTGATACTGCAATGATGCTAGCCCTCAGGAAAACAGAAATGGAGGTGCTTGGAGAACTTTCAGGTCTAACAGGCAGGCTCCTGGTGAGGTTGGGTACCTGCCTATTGTGGGGACTGTTTGGAGCTTGCAGTTTTGTACAAGTTCTTTTGGTAGGGCATATCTTTAGTGCTGAAAATAGAAGGGTGAGAAGTAGGGCACTTACATGAGGCCTGCCTGCAGAGGGATGAGGCCCCTCTGTAAAGCAGCTCTGCACACACTGAACAAGGAGGCTCTGAAGGAGGGAGAAACATTACACCAGCAATTTACCTGGTCTGCTGCCTGGTTCAGTGCAGCAGTTGCATTTATTGAGTCAATATTCACACTGATGAAGAGGGCTTGCAAAACGAGTTTCCTGCCTTCTAGCCAGATACTCTAATCATCATCACATTATTCTGCAAGACTTAGATACTGCTACCTCCTTCTTTTCTGCCAGCAGCTATGTTTGGAGGGGAACTGGAGGGTGTTATTGTGTGGAAACTGGCAATGTGAACATGCAATATTTAGGCACTTCATTAACTGTCTGACCATGATTTTTTTTACAATCTGAATTGCTCTCTTGAACCTTAGCACCTTGGACCTAGGTTGAAAATTGACTGTTGTGCTGTTATAGCCAACCTGAACTCCTAAATAAGTTAAATGTCCAGGACCTAAGATTGATGTAAGTCCTTATTTGGATTTATCCTCTAAGCATTCAGTCTTGCTTCTATTTCACACTATAAATTCTCAGAGGACCAGCATCCATTGCATGCTGCACTCTGTGCTATGAATTCCAGTCTTGAAAATTACTTTCTTTATTATCATAGCATTTCTTGCACAAATAACTTAGAACCACAAAGAAAGAGTACATTGCAAGAGTGAAAACACTAGATGCAAAGAAGAAAGAGCAAGGTTAAAAATAGGTGGGCTACAAAGAAAAATTGAAATAATGATTTGTGACAACAAAGCCATGGACTCTGGTTTTCAGGAGGGTACAGATATTAAGGTGATGAGGCTACATAGTAGCCCCTTTACAGGAAGGATCTTATGAACAGTTCAAGAACCTGCAGCCATGAACTTCATCTGGGTTCTGGATGTCCAGGCTTTAAGATGTATTTGCCTGCAGCAGCACAACGCAAATAATCCTTTTGTACCCATGACTTGCTTTGCCCCACCTATGCATGTACCACCACCACCTATGCACGTACCACCACACAGAGGTAGTCAGTTTCTTCTCCACTGGGATGAAACTACTTTCATTTCAAGAGGTAAACTATCTGATCCCATAGTCATTACCATTTTACATGCATAAATACCATTTTATATTCAGCAAGTCTGCCTAAAAATGGGGGGAAATCTTTGATGAAGCTACATGCCAGAATTTGTGCTATGTATAGGATAGTCTAAAATAAATATGATTATTTAAGTCTGTAATATTTGCAAAGGTTTTGTGGGATTTTAATTAACTCTATTAACTCTAATAGAAATTACATTGTAAAAATCTCATTCACTTATTTTGTTGTCCCAAGTAGTTTAAAATTCCTCTATCTTCAGTCTTCTTAGATTTCATTCTAGGAATTTACACCTGTACTTTTACATTATCTGTGTATTGTGTTGTTCCAATCGATGCTGTAATAGTAGGACTGTGTCTATATTTTAGTTGTCGCATTAATTGTTATTATATGTTTTTGTATCTTAATTTCTGATATCAAAGTGGCCATATAAATCACTGTTGCTATTTTTTTTTCATTTCAACTTTTACAATATAGTATTTTTCTTTTTTTTTTTCCAGGGCCTGAAGGAGCACTTTTTGAACACTCTGTAGAAACACCACTTGTGAAGGCAGAAGCTTTTAAACAGCTTAGGTAAGAACTTATACATAAAAACATAAATCTAGTAAGTAAACGTTGTTTACTGTAGACATTCACATTTTTCTGAGCAAGGGATTTTCAACAGCATTTACAGAACTACTAATAACTTTTTTTTCCTATTTTATGTGACAAATTATTGTTTTGAAGGAAAATTATACATTGCTCTGAAATTTTTGAAATTTATTATGAGTGATTTATTGCTGATGGTGAGTATTTAAAGCCACATAAAATACTGTGGAAAGTTTTTGTGTAAACTTCTATTTTTCAATTTTTAAACACTGAAGTATGACTTTTTCTACAATAGAAATTGTTTGTCTGCAGTAGGTCATCGACCTATAATTAGTCAAGATTTTTAGAAACTAGTATCAGTCTGAGGAAACAGACTAATAAGAAATGTGCAAAGCTCTGTATAACTAAAGAGCAGTTTGGGGTGAGAAAATAATTGTAAAGTATCTTGTATGTTTCAGGGCTCCTTAACTCTGGGATAGCATTTCTTTGTGCATTATTCTGTGTAATTTTGAGTATCCCAAATTAGTTTCTAATATGTTGGTTATAATGAGATAATAAACTCAATTTATGTTCTGTTCATGAACATGTTATGTTTCATTTTATAAGCCAGTTCAAAGAAAGATTTGAAATGAAAGAGGATCTCTTTAGCAATTATACTTCTGTCCTTTCATACCTTGGCAGTCTGCTACTTTCTGTCGTAATTTCTCTTCTTAGTGTTTCTTTTCCAGTAGGGATAACTATTAGAGAGTAGCAGAAGATTATTAAAGCTTTCAAGAACACTGTTTGTATCTTGGTAACTGAATTTTCAAATTGAGAATGGCAAATGAGAGGGAGACTATTAAGATACTTATTTTAATTTTCTCCTTGATATTTAAGATTTACTTACAGTAAGATACCTTGTGCTTGCATTTGAAGACAGAATGAGCTCAAGACATTAGTTTTTACATGTTGATCTCCACTTTCAAAAATGTGTTTCTTCTACTGTGGTAGAATTTGGATTCTACCAATTGAATAGAATTGACCAATATGTAGGATTCTGCATCGTAGTGAACATTGTCTGGTTTTTGAGGGAGTGGATTCATTATGTTGTAAATTTGTTGTTTCCTGTGATTATCGCAATTTTGATAAAGTAGGACATTGAATTTTGTAATTACAAAGCCAAGAATCTCTGCAAATTTTTTTCTGTGGTTGTTACTTTGCTTCAAATTAATCTTCAATTAATAATATTTTAATAGGCTTAAAGCTAAAAGTTTTATCCTACAGCCATTATGCTATGATACATTTTAAGTTCTTATCTGGACTTCATTTAAAAACAATTACAGTTTCAGACTACATACAACTATTATTATTATAAATTTTTCATCTGTTTTTGAAATAGGATATCATTTGAAGGAAAATATTGAGATTAGTTCAAAGTGTTTGTAAAGTTCTCCTGCATGGATGAGTTTACCTCATGGCTTATCTCTTTAGTGATTTTTACCATGTCAACTGTAAGCACATGTTTTGATCTAGAATGTTGCTATGTGTTCGCAGAGCTCAAGTGTAATAGTTAAAATCCCATTCAGTTCTGTCTTCAATTAACTTAAAATAGTGGGAAGTACAGATTCTTCCAGAATTTACAGAAGTTATGCTAATAATTATTATAATGTCAAGGAAGTACCTACATGGCCACATCAACACTGACACTTGCGACTGACATTAATATCTGACATAAATCCAGAGCTGCTAAACAGCTGTGCTAGAAACTGAGTTAGCTTAACCCTAAGAAAAATGCTGAATATCAGGGCATGAAGCTGTGCAATGAATACAGCACTCACTCATGTCCTGGCTGGCCCTGAAGACCTGAAGCCTACCCAGAGCAGTTCAAAATGCCTCA